ATTAATTTTATGTCAGTAAGGATTAAAGTTGTGATTTCCAATAGTTAATGCTGAGAAAACCCTATTACTGAATATTGTATCATAAATTTGTTTATCAGAAGAGCAGAAATGTCTCTCGATATCTACTTATGGCTTTGTTACTTGGTTACACTAGTTTACTCAAATTTTACAGATCCTTGTCTCATATAAACCCAACGAGATATTCAGGTGCAAACCAAATACCTCTAATATGCTTCATAATTTTAGAACGTTTTCATCTAAATTTAAAGCACATGCCAAGTTTATAGGTATTTATTCTTTTGCTTAACCTAAATAAAATCTAACCCTGTCTGTAACTATCCTAGAGTTACCGCCGGTCGCAAGCTCACACAAAGTAGGAGAGTTGGGCAATGGGGTTGGCAACCCCATCCCGTAGAAAACAACCTTGCTAGAAAAACACTAACCAGATTAAACAAATTAAACCATTTAAACTCTGTCCTCCGAGTTGAAGAAAGAATTATGACGCTTCATAATGAGGACTGAGATTCGGAAGTCACGAGGTCGTTACCACTTCTCGCAACCAGAGCAACCATTATTGTAGGTACATGAAAAAACAGAACAATGTGGGAGACCAAAAGGACCAGTCAAATAGCTACAGAAATGAAGAAGTACACCTTGGCATTGCTCAGAATCAGCGAAACCCATTGGACCTAAGTTGGGGACAGCAAAGGTTAGATACGAGAGATTCTGCTGTACTCCAGTCGCGAAGAGGAAAATGCTCCACACATTCACGGGGTTGATCTGATGCTGTCCAAAAATGTACGGAATGCACTTATTGGGTCGGAATCTCATGGATTCAGGATCCTTCAAAACCAAGAAGGAGGGAATTACAATTAATATTATCCGGTGTTATGCACCTACCGATGATAGCAACGACGACACTAAAGATCAGTTTTACGAGAGTTTGCAAAAATGAAACTGAAGCTAAAGAAGCACTGGACAACTAGAGAAACAGTATTACAAATGTTTAATACAGCCTTCCTTCGACATACTGGCAAACTCATCGAATTCAAGATAATTCTCAACAACTGGTTACAAGCCTTACAAGATCTACTGAAAGAAGAAACTACTATGGAGTACAACTGGAAAGGGATCAAAGAAGTACTAATTTCAATGTGTCAGGAGGTTCTAGGCCTCAAGAACCATCATCATTAGGAATAGATGTCTATGGAAATGCTGGATATGATTCAAGAAAGGAAAACATGAAGACAGTAATTAGGAACAGTCGAAAAAAGCAGAAAAAGACAAGTCTTTTGGAATTGCTGGGACTAAGAAAGAATGAAGCTGTCGTATACTGTTTCGAAACTTCCGTTAGAATTATCACTGCTTTCACTCCGTAACAATACCATACAATTCATTCTCCTTCGCTCTCTTTGTTGTTGGTTTATCTGCATGTTAGTGCTGTTCCGACTGAGGAGGAAAAGACATTAGAAGTGGATGGGACATACATTACGTAAATCACTAAACTGCATCACGAGGTAAGCGCTAGCTTGGTCCATACTCCTCCACGAGGGGTAACAGGCTCAAGTAAGTAAAATATCATACAACTGGACCCACAGAAAATAGGGAAATAATATTGTGAATAAGAAAAGGAAATCAAAATATTTTTGAAGATAAAGAAACAAGTAAATGCACATGATTAATGTATAACAATTCATTCGAAAAATAATATAATCAATAACGATCTTTTTCACTTGAAGGGTTTTTTAATTTTTATAAAGATTAAAAAAGGTTCATAGTCGGATCCCCATTTGCTTTTCTGATACATATCTGATGTCTCAATACACTGAGTTGTGACATCTTCGAAACCTAAACTAGGAATTCGCGATTGGTCGACAGGTGGTAATCGTATACTGTTTTCTTTCATACCCCGATACTATTCCATAAGCTGAACACCTCTCCACTTTTTTAAACCAGCCGCAAATTTGGCAGTTCGTGCTTAGTGTGGAATTTGCTGGCACGACATTCGTTAAGTATACCTAAACCATTGAAGTAATTTTGTCAAGATGATGACACCAAATAAGTTATCATCACTGCTCCCGAGCACACATTGCCAAAACTCAACCACTGGAGGTCAACATTTCTTCGATGTTCGAACACAGTCGTCTGACATATCCCTGAGAGGTCAGGTTTTGTACGCGTATATAGAAGTGCTCTCACCAGTGCATCGTATACCTGAGATTTTACACCCAAATTACTATCATATCAGTTCCCAAATAGCCCAGGTTGGCATAATCCGTCTTGACATCAGCACACACAACTATTCAGGTACACAACATTTCTGACTACTTGTAATGGCACACCACAAAGAAGGGGTACAGGCATAAACTCCCGGACGCTTCGCACTAGAGAGAAGTGACCGTATGCTCTTATTTTGTTCGGAGTTATTTTCTATAGACTCTTCGAAATTGGAAAATTTTCAGGCACACTCATTCGACAGACAATGACAGAGCACACTCATGCCTAACGATTTGAAGATGTCTCTAATATCATTAGACAACGATTGTTGATCAGGAATGAATGAGACTTTGCTCCGACATTTGTTAGGGGGTAGAAGTGTGATTAATACATCCACGACCCGATTGAAAAATAGTTTGCTCCTTAGTCTTTCGCGGGTTTTGTGCAATAGTGAGGATGCAATCGACTACAGATACCGTTCTGTAATTGTTTGATTGATGACATAGGCCCTTCTCAAAGATGGACACGAAAGTCACTCTCAAAGGTGTTGGAACAAATTACTTCCCAGATCTTTTCAAACAACTCAGTCAGTTTGCTGACCAGAAGTTCTCAAAAAACTTTCCCAATCGTCAGATGGCAAACAAATTTTTGGTAATTCCCTGGAGTTTTGGAAACGAGTCTCAGATTTTTATACAAACATGTCGAGACTTTCCAAAGCCACAGCCAAAATTGTCTGTCTTCTGATCTTCATCAGCGTGTGAACGTATCATGAGTCATATTCCGTGTAGGCATTCATAGATTCAACCAGTCAGCGGTTTGAGATGGTTTAGACACGACAGAGCTGTTGAGCGAGTTTAAAAATAAAAGTAGACATAAAACGGAATAGAGATATAAGGTAGAATAAATTAACTTTGGTTGTATTATGTGTCTGTAAATATCGCTTGCTTGGATAAAAATCGAGAGGGAGATTATTTTCTTTATTGATAACCATACATGTATGGACTGGGGTACTACCCGAGCACTCAAACCAAAGGGCTAATGTACGCGCCATTTATATTACGGTTTAATCCTCAAGACATTGTATCGATGTCAGGCGATGAAGTTACTTGGTAGCCAGGGGACCAGATAAAATCGATAAGTCTTCAGATCCGGTTTAGTTTGCTCCATTGTTTACACAAATGTAATGTATTTGATGTGAGTGATTGTAACTAGAGTTATTACTCTTGAAACACGGAATCAATCCATAGAATGTGAGGCTTCATTACAAGTACCGCCACAAAGCTTGATGGGTAATATTTTTTTAAAAATAGCTGGAATCAAGTGTCTAAGCACTTCAGTGATATTATTGCTAAACAGAGTTTAATAAATTCAGGTAAGTCCATTGTTTATGTTCTTAAAAATCACTTACACCATTTCGTCTTCAGTTACAATTAGTTTATTTTTACGTTATTCACCAATGTTAATATTGGTATTTTCATTAATTTGATTTCTATTTAGGTTGGCGATTGAATTAATATCAATCTCCAGCAGTGTGTAAATATGTTTGATAACATTTTTCATACAACAATCTTGCGATAGAAATGCTCAGTTTCGACGTTTATCCTAATCATTTTTGAGTAATTTTTATTTTAGTTTCAAGAGTTATGTCGAAATTGCTGTCTTTTTTCTATTTATCGGTATTTGTGTGCTTATTCGTTAAATCACTTAACTTTCAACCTGCAGACTACAGGTTCGAATCCCGTTTCACTTACTTTGGTATGGATTCTCAGAGAATATTATTGTGGTGTATGTTACTAATGTCGACATACATAATTAGTATGTAACACCAATCGGAAGTGGAAAACCTGGCAGCAGAAGGCTATGAATGTCGACTTGGAGAGAACAGAAACAGAAATTGAAACGAATCGTGATTTGGAAGAATCATATAAAATATGAAGGACAAATGATGGAATTCCATAAATGAATTATTCGATGTACGGTTCTCATATTTTATCAAGATATTCTGTAATTATTGTATGAAGTAATAAATCGGTTATCTCCACCTAGTTCAATTTCACTACAGTATCTCTAGGCGTTACACAAAACAACTTGTGTATAACCAAAACCTGACTACCTGCACATGGCGAATGAATTAAATTTTCTATCCATTTAAATTCCCTACAATAATAGTTGACCTGTTGGGGGAGTAAAATGTACGATTAGAGTATTTGCATACTTATTATTTATATAAACCATTACAGTTTAGAAACAACTAAATTACAAGTGTTGCATTAATACATATTTGAATAATTTTAATAGTTGAATTCACGGGTCAATTAAAGCTAGACCACCATGGGGAACATGGAAGCACTTGACGACCGTTTCGCCCTAATCCCTGACTCCTCAACAGTGCTCATCCGGAATCCTCTCCTGAGAGGTTCGAACCCAGGACCTATCAGTCTCGAGCGCCAGCGCTTAACCACTAGACCACTGAGCTGGCCGGCATCCAATGGTGTTAATGTCTAACTTTAACTAATCCACGAAATTGAGCGACACATCCATCATTGTCATCAGTGAGTTACTATCTCACAACTGACCCAGTTGAAACCATTTTATTTTAATTTTTTTTGGAAAAAAATAACATTTATACCACGATTCTTCTGTTTCTTAGCCCCTTCTGATTTATCATTAATAGAATGATTATTATTTCATAATATACAGTTTTAATTGATTCATCTTATTTATGTCTAATTGACATGATAATTTTTCTGATTGTTTTAGACTAAATAAACATAATAAAAAGTTCATGTTTTATACTCTATAGAAAGTATTGGTTTCATATTCATATTGATTTCATTAATTTTATTAATTTGTTGATTAATTTGATCATTTTGATTTAATAATTCATTCACTTCTATTTCTTGTTTTGCTTGCTGTTTCAATTCCCAATAATTACGTTGACGTAAAATTCTTGCCCACAATGCTAAAAGCTGTCAAAATAATCATGTAATTAGTTTAATTAAAATATATAAATGGATAATTTTAAGAAAAAAAAAGATAGGTTGATATTAGACAATAACAGCATTGGATGCCGGCCAGCTCAGTGGTCTGAAGGTTAAGCGTTCGCGTGTGAGACTTGTTGTGACTTTATGTCCGGCTTTTTATCACGTGATTTATCCACCAATCAAAATACGACTTATACAATCTTAGCACTGTGCCAAACCAATGACTTTCGACCGGTATGATCAGCCTAGCGTCCTTATTGGTCCTATGCCCGCCTAGCCCGTCCACCAGCTCCCACTATGCGAATCGAGTCGAATCGAATCATTTATTTCAGACATACTGAGTTTATATATCAATCAAACAGACCACAACGCACCATAAAATAGGAAATAACATTTGTACACAATAAAGCCAAAAGGTGACTGTGAACGTGGGAGTCAGTAGTCAATAAACTGAACATAGCTTAAGCACAGTAAATCGTACAATAAGAAATTATAGATCAAAATGAAGCTTATAATAAGAGGAATAGAGATATACATAATCTAATTATTGAATAGTTATACCATAAGAATGTATAGATAATATTAGTGAATTAATATGTCTCAGAAGTTACTCGTGATTTAATCTTCTCTCGGATATAACAATACTGATAGGTCCTTAGTTCGAATCTCGCGAGGCATGATCGTGAATGTGCACTTCTGAGAAGTCCCATACTAAGATAAAACGGCCGTCTAGTGCTTATAGGTTTTTCATAGTAGTCTATCTTCACTTGAATAATGAATTCAAGTGTTAAATTAAGACATTAATTCACTATGACATGTTTTTTTCATATTTTCGAGTTTGATTTTGTGTTTTAATGATGAATTTAATTTGTCATCTTTAGTGTGCAACTTACCACTTTGTTTTCTCTAATTATATTCTCTTAATATTTTGTCTCTCATTATTATTTCTACTGAAATTATTTCTACATTTTAAATGCCCATTATGGTAATGCAATTTTGTTTATGTTGATGTGGTATAGGCAACTTGGGTCAATGTGTAACAGTAGCAAAAATCATTACATGTGAAGTTACTGACACGAGCCTGTTTTTCTCATTGCAAGGTAACAAAGAGTAAACGTACTGGAAGAAGAGGGACAACCCCTACGTAAGCTGAATCTGCAGAACAATGGATAAAACTATTTTATAATAAGTTTTCCCTTTTTGTACTAGAACTGCATCTTTCAATTTTCATATATATATATATATATATATATATATATATATATATATATATATAGTGCGTTCTTACTTCAGAGGCATCTACCGCTCTTAACTGTTGTGTTGTTGTTTCAGATAGCTCCTGCTAATATTACGTGCTACAAATGTATATTTGTAGTATTACTGTGAGCTGATTGTGACTAATTGATTTTGTCAACCTTTTTTATAACCACAAGTCCTTTTCTCTCAATCGATGATTTAAAGACTAATTTTGCTAGTCCTTTCATAGTCTAATGTTCTCATACACTGAATTTATAAGTAAAAATTGCATCCTTCATTAATGATATTGTTTTATACCTCATCGTTAATAAAGTTTTTAAAATATTTTATATAATAATTTTGATAGACGAAGGTATTTTACAACCCTTTCTTCCATCAATATGCTTTGTTAATTCTTTTTCGTTTATTATGTATCAAGAATGTTATATTGCTTGTATGTCACTTTGTCAGCCATTAACAACGCAGAACTTCGTACGTACGTACATCAGTTCAAGTTCCCATACCACATTAGCACAGAGATGCAGTTGTCGATTCAAATCCCATGGTGGTCGAGGTAGCAAATGCATAAGCAGTAATCGGAAAGACTAGGGTTTGAAAATGTTATTCAAGGAGTATAATCCAGTGAAATAAATTTGGAAAGAGAAAAAAGGGACATGGAAAATTCAGAAGATTAGAAGTTAAGAGAACAAAAAGAGTGGATGCACTTGCTCTATCGCAAACGATTTTCAGCCATATCATTCAAGGTCTCTAATCATCGGTTGCTATCGTCTCGCGGATCCCAACCAGGTAGTCTACACCTAACAACATGGCTCAGTCCACTTGTCAGTGACTTCATGGACTTGTGCCATGTTTTGGTCTGGCCGTCCCTAGCTTTCTCCCAACCTACTCCTACACCAAAAAACATCGCTCGTCGGGGCAGTCGGTGGTTGAGCATACGTAACGCGTGTCCCAGCCATCTCAACTGATGAAGTTTCAATACTTCATCCATTGATTTGCCTCTCTTACCTAGTACCCGTTTTCTAATAGCTGCATTACTTACTCGGTGGTCCCAGGATGCACGAGCAATATTTCGAAGACACCTATGATCGAATGCCGGTAACCTGCGAATATACTCTACTCTTACCGGCAATGTTTCACTGCCATAAATGACGCAAGTTTGCAAAAGCTAGTCGAGCCTTCTGTATCCGTGCTGAGATTTCGTCACACACCAGATCACAAGGGCTGATGAAACTCCCATGATAAGTGAAGTGGTCGACACGCTCAAGTACTCCACTCCCTAACATTAGTACGGGTGTCGATGCAACCCAATCCTGAAGCAACATTTTACATTTCGAAGGCGATAATCGCATCCCGAACATGCTTGTATGCAGCTGGAAGGGGTATTCAAAGTAAAATGCGTTCATCCTATTCTTTGAATTTATTTGAAGTTTAGTTTCAACTCGAAATTTTACTTTTAGAAGCTACCGATTTTTTAAAGATCAAACCGACAAATCTTAATGATAACTTTCTTACACGATATCTCAGAAAGAGCTATAGTGCAAGCACTTTTGAATGATCACGACTACCTAGTATACCATAATCTTCAGATTGCTGTGACACACCTACAATATTATTCCTTGAATTCTTATATTAATCAACTTGACAACCGTTAATACCATAAAAAAGTTTCAAATGGTGAGACGAAGTTGTCTCAACAATTTAATTTAGGCACATCTCAAGTTAAACGACTAGTAAGCCAACAATGAGAAAGATATATTAATGAATATCATTTAACCAAATATATATTCAAGTTTATACGAGTGAGTCATCAAGTAATAAGTAATTAACATTTGAGCGAGTATGAGCAATAAATGCGTAGGTTGCCAACTACACATACTCATCTGTACAATCGGGAAGATACATATATATGAAAATATGAGCAAATTATTCAGACTAAAATATTAATTGATGAGCATAATAAATACGAATATATACGACCAGCTTGTGATAAACTCGACATTATCAAGTCATCTAGTTGTATCGTAGTCAGTAAATACGGTCATGTTTTCATTCATACAGTCATTCAGTTGTAGATAGTTCGGAATGATTTCAAGTACAAAATTAATTGGAAGCATGATTATTGCCGTGTTGTGATTTTTCTTCCATGATGACTGAGTGAGCTGAACTTGACACGTCCGTAGCATGATAGAGTGGTATTTTCATCGTAGGGGACTTTACATTTTTCATATAAGCCAGCTAAAATAACAGAACGAAACATGTCCACCATCATGAATTAAGATAGTGTAAATAATAATTTCCATTCCATCTTGGTTGGTTGTCATGTTCAAGTTGAAAATTGTGAACGAAACTAGAGTTTATCCTAACCCGAAATTTCACTCCGAATCGGTGTAACGGGTTCTAGGAATGGGAATACAGAACCTGATGCTAAGTCGTATAAAAGTACGTTGTTAGACTGGATTCAGCTATCTTAATCATAACTGGTAAGTAATCTACTTCATATCATACATTTCTGTAATAAAGAGTAATTTTGATTTATATTCAATAATATTCGAAGGGTAACAATATGATGTTGTGTTTTATAGTGCAGATTGAACACCCAGCTTTTTTTCCTACTAAATGACTGTGCAATATTAACTCGGTTCACTGTTGTATAATAAATTTGTTCCATTGCTTAAAACACAAACTTTCTATTCGAAGTTTATTTAATAACACGGTTATTTTATAATATTTCTACAATAATAATAAGAGATAATTAATATTTTCTTGTTTTGTAGCGTACCATTCAAATAGCCCATATGTCTACTGAAAACTATGTGAGATTATTTATACGAATATTCGTCAAGATTAGAACGAATAGTTTGACAGAAATTTGGCGCCGAGTATAGAGAAACCATTATATGTGAAAATTTTGATTATTACCCTGAAGAAGTCCAGACAAGTTAGCTGGACGAAACGTTGGAATTATTTAAATTTCAATCGCTGAGATTATTTCAAATATAATTTCCACATATAATGATATGTGAGATTATCTAGTATGGAGGAAATTGTGGAGATTACTATATCCGTAGTTTACTCTACGAATTGACTTTAGATAAAAAACCTCTCAAAACCAAGGAGCTTTGGGCAGCTGTTTTGTCTTAGCACGAGACTCGTCAACATCTCGCTAGAAGCTGAACCCAAGACCCTTAGATCTCGTGATGAGCTTTTACTCCTCAGACCACTGACCCAGCATCTAGTGGTTTACATTTATAACTTCAGTCAATTAGCAGTCTTAAGCAACCATCTCCCATTGCCCTTTTGTGATATCTGTCTCACGACCGTCGTAGTTAAACTCTCTATTGGTTACAGCTTCTTACTGAACTCCGGCAATTACTTTAAAGTTAGTTAGATGATTATCGTAAGTATAGAAGTGTGTGGAGATTGTTGAATACGTAGTTTACATTAGTGATGCGGAGGTACTGTGAACAAGCACAGCTAAAATTAGTTTGTTGGGTTTTTTGAGTAGATATCGCTAACCATAACCGATATAGATACATTTGTCAATAAAATTTGGTAGAATCATATCGCTGATAACATTGTGTATATGGAAACATTCACAATACACACGTTTTAATTTAATAAACAAATGATCAAGTACTATATTGAATTATATCAATTTATAAACATTGATGACACTTTTTCGAATCAATAATGATACATAACAATGATCACCAAAATACATACTACTTTTAGGTCGAAGTATGGATACATTATTCATATTATGCCCATGCATAAATTGTTTAAAATAATTTTTGTGTTTCAAGTAAACAGTTAATCTGATAAATGGATTATGCTTGTATGTATGTGTACATTCAGCAAGCATAGACTTACAATTTTGTATGGAATCAAACTACATATTTCACTTCTTCAATTGTTTGAAATTTTGATTTAATAGGCTGGTAAATTCGTTGAATATTTGTACTAAAGATTAGAATTATCATTGTTACAACTAATGATATTTATGGGTTACTCAATAATTTAGTCCGTTTAACAGCTTAAATTAATTATTAATCCCAGTGAAAGGTACCTTATTATTTGTTAGGTAATATGGTACTTGTAATATTTCACTGGTTGAAATCATGAGTGAATTGAAGCTAGACCACCATGAAAAACCTGGAAGCACTGGACACCGTACACCATTGTCTTCAGTGGGTTCCTATCTCACAACAGACCTGGTTGAACTCCACTGGTAACAACTTTTCACTTGTAATATTATATGAATACTGTCGATTCAACGAATAGAGAGATATAATTCGTATATGCACATGATTGAAAAAAGACCCATTGATTTCCGTAATGATGTAGTTGACTGGTTAATCTTTGTGAACCTATTAAGTATTATATCATTAACTATATAATGGAATTAACTCCGCCTGGAGTCCCTCCGGGGGCTACTGCCGGTCCCAAGCCCGGATAAAGGAGGAGGGTTGGGCATGGGGTTAGCGTCCCCATCCCGTAGAAAACTAACTCGCTAAAAAAACGCTAACCAGAAAAAATTATTCAAACCTTTTAAACTCTGCCCCGGGAGTCAGAAGGTCTTCATTTAGAAGAATTATGACGCCTCATGATGAAAGCCGAATTCCTTCGGAAGTTACGAGGCCGATGCCCCTTCTGACAACCAGAGCGACCATTTATTTAGGTACATGGAATGTTCGTACAATAAGGGACACCGGAAGAGCCTTCCAAATTGCTGCAGAGATGAGAAGATACAACCTAGAGGTACTTGGGATCAGTGAAACACATTGGACACAAGTTGGACAACAACGACTAACTACAGGAGAGCTCCTGTTATACTCCGGCCATGAAGATGAAAATGCACCACATACACAAGGAGTTGCATTGATGCTGTCCAAACAAGCGCAAAATGCGCTTATAGGATAGGAATCTCATGAACCAAGGATCATCAAAGCCTCGTTCAAAACAAAGAAAGAGGGTATTTCAATGAACATCATCCAATGCTATGCGCCTACCAACGATTACAATGAAGACGCTAAAGATCAATTCTACAATAGGCTGCAGTCAATCGTCGAGAAGTGCCCAACAAAGGACATAGGCGGAACTGTATTCCCACATAAACGCATACACAAAACCACATGGACTTCACCGGATCACTCTACACAAAACCAAATCGACCATATTTGCATCAACAAAACGTTCAGGAGGACTATAGAGGACGTGAGAACCAAGAGAGGAGCTGATATAGCATCAGATCATCACTTGCTGGTCGCCAAGATGAAATTGAAACTCAAGAAGCACTGGACAACGGGGCGGACAATATCACAAAAGTTCAATACGGCCTTTCTTCAGGATACTAACAAACTCAACAAATTCAAGATAGTCCTCAGCAACAAGTTCCAGGCCTTTCATGATCTACTCAATGGAGAAGGAACTACTGTGGAGAGCAACTGGAAGGGGATCAAAGAGGCAATCACTTCAACATGTCATGAGGTCCTGGGTCACAAGAAGCACCACCACAAGGAATGGATCACTGTTGATACACTGGATAAGATTCAAGAAAGAAGGAACAAGAAGGCAGCAATCAATACCAGTCGAACAAGAGCAGAAAAAGCCAAGGCACAAGCTGAATACACAGAAGTAAACAAACAAGTGAAGAGGAGCATCAGAACCGACAAACGTAAATATGTGGAAGATTTAGCAACGACGGCGGAAAAGGCTGCAAGAGAAGGAAACATGAGACAATTGTATGACACGACAAAGAAACTCTCTGGAAATCGCCGCAAACCAGAACGACCAGTGAAAAGCAAGGAAGGCGAGGTAATCACCAACATTGAAGAGCAACAAAACAGGTGGGTAGAACACTTCAAAGAACTCTTGAATCGACCAGCTCCACTGAACCCACCCAACATCGAAGCAGCACCCACGGACCTCCCAATCAATGTTGGCCCACCAACAATTGAAGAAATCAGCATGGCCATCAGACAAATCAAGAGTGGCAAAGCAGCAGGACCGGACAACATCCCAGCAGAGGCACTAAAAGCAGACGTAGCGGCAACTGCAAGGATACTCCACATTCTCTTCAATAAGATTTGGGATGAGGAACAAGTACCAACAGACTGGAAAGAAGGACTTCTGATCAAAATACCGAAGAAAGGCGATCTCAGCAAGTGTGATAACTACAGGGGCATCACTCTTCTCTCAATACCGGGAAAAGTCTTCAACAGGGTATTGTTAAACAGGATGAAGGACTGCGTAGACGCCCAACTTCGTGACCAACAGGCAGGATTCCGTAAGGATAGATCGTGTACAGACCAAATCGCAACTCTACGGATCATTGTGGAACAATCAATTGAATGGAATTCATCACTCTACATCAACTTCATTGACTACGAAAAGGCATTTGATAGCGTGGACAGAACAACACTATGGAAACTTCTTCGACACTACGGCGTGCCTCAGAAGATAGTCAATATCATACAGAATTCCTATGATGGATTAAACTGCAAAATTGTGCATGGAGGACAGTTGACAAAGTCGTTCGAAGTGAAGACCGGTGTCAGGCAAGGTTGCTTACTCTCACCCTTTCTCTTTCTCCTGGTGATCGACTGGATCATGAAGACGTCAACGTCTGAAGGGAAGCACGGGATACAATGGACATCTAGGATGCAGTTGGACGATCTAGACTTCGCAGATGATCTGGCCCTTCTATCCCAAACGCAACAACAGATGCAGGAGAAGACGACAGTGTGGCAGCAGCCTCAGCAGCAGTAGGTCTCAATATACACAAAGGGAAAAGCAGGATTCTCCGATACAACACAGAATGCACCAATCCAATCACAATTGACGGAGAAGATTTGGAAGATGTAAAAACCTTTACGTATTTGGGCAGCATCATTGATGAACAGGGTGGATCTGATGCAGATGTGAAGGCGCGGATCGGCAAAGCAAGAGCAGCATATTTACAACTGAGGAACATCTGGAACTCAAAGCAACTGTCAACCAACACCAAGGTCAGGATTTTCAATACAAATGTCAAGACAGTTCTACTGTATGGGGCAGAAACCTGGAGAACTACGAAAGCCATCATCCAGAAAATACAGGTGTTTATTAACAGTTGTCTACGCAAAATACTTCAGATCCGTTGGCCGGACACTATTAGCAACAACGTACTGTGGGAGAGAACAAACCAGATCCCAGCGGAGGAAGAAATCAGGAAGAAGCGCTGGAAGTGGATAGGACACACATTGAGGAAAGCACCCAACTGCGTCACAAGACAAGCCCTCACATGGAATCCTGAAGGTCAAAGGAAAAGAGGAAGACCAAAGAACACATTACGCCGAGAAATGGAGATAGACATGAGAAAAATGAACAAGAATTGGATGGAACTAGAAAAGAAGGCCCAGGACAGAGTGGGTTGGAGAATGCTGGTCAGCGGCCTATGCTCCATTGGGAGTAACAGGCGTAAGTAAGTAAGTAATATAATGGAATTACATTTCATATGAATATGTGTGATTTTGTATCGCAATAAATTGTAACTTCCTTATAAATAGATCATTTAAAATAAACTAACTGAATATATTTATTTTCTGATAGTGAGATAAGAGCGTACTGTATAAAAAGGACCCATATTATTACTTATTATTGATATTTGCAGTTTTAAATTAATCAACTATCAGCTTAGTTATTAAAGAATGAAATTTGCTTGTTAAAATCGATTATATGTTCAATAACTCCTCATATTATTGATAAAATGATAATATCAGAATGGGTTTTGTAGAGATTTTAGAAAGTTCACTGATTGAAATCATGAGTCAATTGAAGCTAGACCACCATGGAAAACCTGGAAGCACTGGACGGCCGTTTCGTCCTAGTATGGAACTCCTCAGCAGTGAAGTTAGACAGTAATACCGTTGGATACTAGCCAGCTCAGTGGTCTAGTTGGTTAAGTGCCTGGCGCAAGACTGATAGGTCCTGGGTTCGAATCTCGCGGGGTGCAGGATCGTGGATGCGCATTGCTGAGGAGTCCCATACTAGGACAAGACGGCCGTCCAGTGCTTCCAGGTTTTCCATCGTGGTGTAGCTTCAATTGACTCATAATTTCAATCAGTGAAAATGATAATAATAAATAATCATAGTAACTAAGGTATTACATCACATTACTGATACTCACTTGTTCTGCATTGAATAATTGATTTTGATCTAATACGGAATTTGTTACAGCTAAGTAAAATAATGATAACAATTTGCTTTGTTCTTCTTGCATTTTAATATATTGATCAGATAATTTTAAATTAAGAGAGAGTTTCTCACTTAAATCCTCCTGATATGATTGGTATGATAATAATCAAATAGAAGAGAAGTTTATTTTATTATTCAGTTTAATTTCTTTTTTTTGGTAAACGGAAGAAAACATTTCAAATTAATGAATAAGTAAGAAAAAAAAAACATTCTTCCAACTTTTCATAAAGATGGATCTTCCACTATAAATCAGTGTTATCTAGTAAACTATAGCACGTAAATGAAAGTTCATAGATGTTTCGTGTTTTTCTTTATATACATGATTAAATTGAGTTTAGTTAGTAACTTTTGGATTATAGTTGAAGTAGAAATAAAGTAAACGTAAAGTCATTGAGTTTTATTAAGGAATATTATTAGTTGTTCAAAAATTTAGACGGTTTACTATTTGTTAGCGGGACATAGACTAGATTAAAGCATGCTCAATGCATGATTGCTTTGGTGCACGCTGATTGGCTAATTCTTATCCAATCAGCACTAGCCGATAGTTGGAGAACACTCTGGAATCTTCTTATGTAAAAACTATAAATATACTGACGTTTTCCCTATTGTGCTTCTGACTTGCTATTTGGAATATAATCTCTTTCCTGTTCAACCGTGTTCTGATTTGGGGACTTGTCGAGTGAATCGGTGTCCGAGAATACTAAGCATTAGGAATAGCTGGGTCATAACCAGAAGAAAGAGATTATAACACTATTGCACCAACTTGACTTTATGCAAGAAAGTTCTAGATCATTTGAATAAATGATTTTTGGTTAATTGTAGATGCTGACCTCAAAGGATCATTCGAATGTTGTGGAACAATAGAGTGAACAATATTGAAGTCAGACGTATGATATTTAAAGAAATTAAGAAGTCAGTTACTGGGGCTCTGAATCGTTATTGTGCTAAATGTCTGGAGCAGGTCTGACGTACGTTTAACCACACCCTACTTCTATGAGCAATACTTTTCGGAGCAGAACTGAATTTGAAAAAGGACGGTTAAACCATCAGTCCATGAAATCATAGACTGTTGAGCTGCCCCTTGTCGGTATATCAACATAACCTAGTTGTGCATCTGGGCAATAACTGAGTTAAAAGTCTAACGTGATGATGCATCTGCACTTACTATTGATCTTCCAGTAAATCTTGAGTTTCAGTATGCTTCTAAGTATACTTCATTTCTTCGTTCTGAAACATATTCTTCAGTGTTCACTGTCTCTCACTAATTTAAAAAAATTTCTCAGTCTGAAGTGGCTGATGATGTTGTTCGGAACGAAAATTATGGTTCCGCAATTAAATCATCCAGCTCAATGAACAAAACACTCTTTAAATAGATATAACTATTAAGCCATGTAATCAAGCAAGTTATGCACAGAAGAAAAATTATAATTCTGAATTTCTAGTAAACAAATTATACAGTTAATAAGTAACTTATTGTTATTTGGCATTCCAACATCTGGGTTTGACTTTGGCAAAAAATAAGTCTTAGCTAATATGCGTGTAAAACTACGTGATTGGAACGAGATTAAAACAACCGAATACGAACTTTCTGTTAGTTTCTAGCTGATCAGAAAACAGCTTTCGTAAATTGATAGTTCACAGAAAAGAAAACAATAATATTATAAAGCATAAACAGATTCTACTTATTCAGTGGATCGATTATTGTTTTCTACAACTTACTTTGCATTTACATAGAAAAAAGTGACGTAAATTCATCGCATATAGGTTGTCTGTCTCCTCAAACCCTTGAAAAACCCAAATGTATTCTTAAGAGTCCCCACATTGTTCTTAATTAGGGCTAAGGTTAGGGGGTTAGGATTATAGTTTTCATCATGAACTTGCATTAGCTATCATATAAAAATGCTCTGTAATCATACGGAAGAATATCTTTCAAGCAGGATTAAGAGTTTATGGTTGAGATGTGGAGATAGTGGTAGAAATGAAATATTTTGTTGAAATAATCAAACTTCGGAGTAAAGTTAATTTTTGCTCTATTGATATCATTTAATAAAGAAAACCCTTATTATTCATTATTCATGTCGAAACTTGATAATTATAGCTGTATTTTTGTTTGACTATGAATCATTTTTAAAACTAAATACCATCTCGTCGTTGGTTAAAAAGTAGTTCAAGGTTGTCCATATACTTTGCTTACACCGACATGGTGTCCATTTGTTAGTTAGATAAAATCTACAGAGACAATTGAGAGTTTGATATATTAAGAACTATCATTTTTACTATGTAATGACAATGATGACTTTTTCTGTTATCATTTTAAACGTGTTGACCAATATACGAAGGTATTTGTACTTCTCGTAATTTGTAATGTTCGAATTTCACTTAACGTGTTAAATTCAGGTTCTTGACTTTGATTGGCTCGTCCTTATACTACACTTTTATCAATAAACCAAGCTGGTACTTTAAACATTCACTACTTTGACTTAGTCTTGTTTCAGCGAGGTCTGTTTCATAATGAACATCAAATTTTATAAGTGTGACTGTTATCCGTAACTTATAAATCACATCTGTTATTATTGTGTTCATAATGAACATGATTGAATAAGTTATTAAAACCATACGAAGTGTATGGTCCAGATTTGTTTGACACAATTACACGTTAACTTAGTATATTAGAAATATATTAGAATACAGTTCTAAATTTACTATATTAGTCGCCTTAACGGCTTTCCATCTATATTACTGAATAATTCGACCAAAGACAATATGTATACAATTTTCCTACCAAAACAACTCTAATCCAATATATAAAAGTTTTATATTTTTAAATAAGTGTAACCCTCACTTTTGTTCATTCTATTTAAAACACATAAATTCTGTTACAAACTACCACAGGAAAAAATGCTCTGCACAAATCAAGACAAAATATAGTGTTCCTTCTGTCTTGAGTATGCTAAAACAGCTTCCAGCAGTTACTAGACGTATTTACTGCTGCCAAGGTGTCAACGCACTACAGCCACGATGTAGCCCAGTCCTTACGTAAGGTTTATGAAATATCGTGAGTCAAGTACTTACGCCCATCATCAGACTCGAGTTTAACTAAAGCAGACTGACATGACCAAGGGAGTTTTGGAGAGCCTGGATTAATCCAAAGGTTATAATTGGGGTGTCTTTCGAAAGCACAAGCAACTTGCCATTTCTATGACATCGTGCAGATATACTCAGTGCTCGTCTAAAATTCTCAGTGAACTGATAGCTACCACCGAACCTAAGCTGGTTTATTATTTGGCTGTGACAGTAGGTATAGTCGATTTGCTCATATTAACCCATTTAGGACAATAAGTTTGCTCAACCTCAAAGACCAAAATAATTTTGGCTCATACTAGAGTGTGCTTTGAGTTAATGTGGGTACTCCAAACGGAGCGCTATTGTTGTACACAACCACCTCGTTGGTAGCTGGTCGCAATGTAATCAATCCAAGTCCAAATTTAAGTTGCGGAGCGAAAAAGTCAGGTGGCACATAGACAATAGCTGTGTCGGAAGCTGATCCTGCACAGAAAAAGGATACAGTCTCCACATAGTTACAAGACAGAATCACCGCTATCTGATCGACGAACTGACGTAGGCCATCCGAGCTTCTGTCCTCTAGGCCTAGATGCCCATTCTGGGCTTCCAACTTCTCACGTAACGATACAAAATCTATTGTACGTGCTTTCTTTACTTGGTGGCATTTTCATCAAACTCTACAGGTAAAAATCCGAAATTATAATTGTGCTTCAACAGAAAAATTACTAAAGCTGAACTAATCCATGTTATAAACTAAAATGACAAGTTTATAGTCCATTTTGTTGAGAATTAGACACAGTATTAAAGGCTTATCTGTAATTATTTTATAATGGCTTCATGTAAAAAGCATTACGACAAGTGTCCAAATGAGATAATTATGGGTAAAGCAAATTATACACCTAGTACTATGTGATATTTGAAGTGTTTTGAAATCAAAAAATCTTTGGTAAGTATTACCTTTAGTTTTTTCAATACTGAATCACGAGTTTTCATTAAGTTAGACAGTTGTAATTCACGTTTGGTTTGAAGTTGATTCATTTCTTCAGTTTGCCTTTTCAAAATGTTTATTTCTGAGACCAATGTTTTGTTTGTTTTTGTGAGATCAGCAATTGTACATCTAAAAATTTGAACATTATGAGAAAAGTTTAACTAAGAGAACAAAATAATTTAAAACTAAAAGGAAGGGATCGAGTTATCCGCAACTCCCTGTTATAGATTAGTGTAGTGTAGCGTATCCGGGTTTCCCGGGTGAAAAACATAAATAAAGTTCAACTAACCAATGGTCAATGAGTGCGCGAATTTCAGTCATGATATATAGGTCAGGTACCTCAGTGGTAACGGACTTAACTCCAACATTAGTTGTACAGACGCAAATCCAGAGGAGTAGTATCGGTTTCATGATGATTTAAGACACACCTTCCTTACGAATGTCAGCTGACACAAAACCATAAGTTTAGAGTATTTTATGGTGTGCTTCCGATTGAATATCATAAAAAATGGACTCACAAAATATATTTAAACTCAGAAAAGACTTATAACTTATGAAACAGAATAATAATAAATTCACCTCAACTGACTTAATTTTGTAGTTCCTCGTAGTTTCACTTTCATTAATGCTAATAATGATAATCTAAGTTTATTTTGTTTCTTCTGTAGAAAATTCTTCTCATTTGTCATTCCTTCTAATCTTGTTTTTAATTCACTGAATTGTGTTTTAGATTTCAGTAGAGAATCATCTAGTGTTTGAACTTTATTACACATCGTAGAATATTCTTGATTCCATTCATTTTCAAACTTGTTAGATACAAATTAAATAATAATAAGAAAAATTGTATGATTGAATACTATGTTTTTTTAAAAGAAAAACGGTCAATCGAAACTAAAATTCAGCTTTGGTCTTTTTTGGGGGGGGGAGGTACTGATCGCTTAAGTCACTCCATATAGGAAGAACGTCTTAGAGATAGTAAATGGATTACTAAATTCATTTACAGAGTCTCAAATGCTTATATAATAAATGTTCTCCATACTATACCAAACAAAAGACCCAATAACATTAGACAATAACACATAGAAAAACACTAAAGTATATAGGATGGTTACATTTTTTAAACTTTGCCTACATGCGAAGTAGGATTAAAATGTTACGATCGACCTTACTCCACATTAATTTATTGAAATAGTTGTAGACATAAGTTGGACTTCGAAAATACATAGACTATATATAGATGAAATGCTTAGTATAGTCTAACATTGCACATGACACACTGATAAAACCAGAAATATTGGTATAATTATCGATTCAATAATTGATATGGAAAAACAGATCCTTAGTATTAAATGACAGGCTTTTTCTAACCATTACTCGAGTATCATCAAGTGACTAATGATGAAGTTAGGAGTATGGTACTAGATAAATATGGTTCGTCAGTTGGTGAAAATGTAAAACTTTATCATCTGAAATAGTTAGAGTACATATGATACATTTCCAAGTATCCCTTCAAATCAACAAGCAATAGTGGTTAACCTGAGAATAAATGAAAAAAAAACCATGAATAAATAAACATGCTCAGAGTTCACCTAATATTTTGAATCTTTTTTTTTAATTTCTCAACTTAACTTTGAGTTTAATGGTTGCCATGTATTTCATTAGTTTCCTTTATACTACCTGCTCTATGTTTGAGAACATTTGAATCAATCGAGTTTATAGGTGTCATTACCAAGGTTTGATTTGATAATTTCAATCGAGTTTAATTTACATTCATTTGTACAATGATAGTAGTATATTAATTTCTTGATTAATGTATAAACTTAAAAATGTATAAAAAAATCATTTACTTGTTTATATTCGTTTTGTATAATATTCAATTGTTCTGAATAATAATTATGATTCAATTGAATAGCTTCTAATTCTGATTTAACATTTTCATAGTTATTTTCTAATTGCTTAGCTGTTGCTTCTAATTCTAAACGTTTTTGATAACCATCTTGTTTAATTCTCTCGAATTCTGTAAGATTATTTTCTAAATCTATCATCAGTTTAGATTTGATTTCACATTCCTGTTGTTTTAATTAAATGATATAACATGTATTCAACTATTAAAGATTAATTAACAAGAGAAATGTAATAAAATTTACGAAAAGTAATTTGATTATCTGAAAGTTAGGACTTGTGAATAAACTGTTTTCCAGAATAGTGTAATTTTTCAATTGCATTCGATTTCAAATGACTAGAATTAAAAACATTACGCAACAGAAGTGTATTGTTAACATTATTACTTAATCATCAATTAGTATGAAATATTTATTCAAGAGTTTATATTTATTAAAGCATAATGAATTCCAAAATCAAACAAGATGTATCGGTTTGAACAATAATACTCAGTGATCATCTCTTAGTTTTTCTGAGCTTGTTTGAAAAAAATTCTGACTTTCAACCGACGATTAAGTGACGATTATCAGATAGTTAGCAATATAGAAGTAATCATATATGTTTATTCATGAGTTTAATTTATTGTATCTGAATAGTAAAAACCATTCACAATCTAGAAACAATAGTATTGTGGCGCGCGCTACTTATATTGATATAAGTAGTATATGACGCAAGTCAGGAACGTAATGTCTGGCGGCAGAAGATGGGGAAGATCAAAAAAGGAAGAGTGGGAATAGAAGGCAATTAGTATGGAAATGCAAGAACAACGAAGTTCGAGATAATTATTGAACATTTTGCAAATTAAGTATTATAGTATGGTTTTTCTATTTTATCAAGTAGCTCTGTAATTTTGTGCTAACTGTAATTGGATTGTCCCCACTGGTTTTCGTGTTCGTTTCAGTATCACACAATTATCAACAAGTACTGTACTATAACAGTGATACTCATTAGGATATCCTAGTTTCAATGTTGTTTACATACATTTTTCTAGTTATTTCAGAAGCTATGGAATACACTCAAAGTAACACAGTGAAGTAGATAATTTTGTTTTAATGTATTATTTATTGTACTTTGATAAAAATGAAATACACTTAGCAAATCTGTTGAATTAAAGGAAAAAGACTTATGTTAAATTACAGAAATAGGTGTATATTATATTTATTTGTATACAAGTATAATATTTTGTATATGGATCAAAGTAATGAATTAAATAAATGGAAATTCATTTGATACTTGTACTGTAACGAAGAGTGATTATACAAACTCTATATTTCGGCTGACAAGAAACACCGTAACGTGTATCCAGGTATTTTAATCCACCTAATGTTAAAGAAGATGAAAATCATACTGTGAACTTCACTAACCCTTACCACCCAATTATTCAGTGAAGTCGCATACATGATATTGATCATATTATTTTCAAGTAAAACCGTTATAGATATATAATATACCCTTGTGGGTCAGGGTAATTTTACATTGGTTTTCAGGAGAACCCGTAACTATCCAGACTTTCACGTGACAACCCAAACACTACAGCTTAATCCCGTTTAACAGGAGAGCCAGATCGTTATAAATGTAACTCTGAAATTCACGTTTATGAATATTTATTCACGTTTCAGTTTATGATTGACTCCGTCATCAAAGCTTTTAAATAATTTTAGTTGAAGCCATGGATCAACCAATGTTAGATTACCATTGAAAACCTGGGAGCACTGGAAAACTATTTTATCCTTGTGTGAGACTCCTCAGAAGTGCATAATCATGACTCTACACGTTGGACCCGAACCTGGGAACTTCGGTCTCGCATACGAACGCCTAACCCCTAGACCACTCAGCCGGCATCTAATGTTTTTAATATCTAATTTCAACTAATCCCACACACTAGGACAGAATGGTCGTCCAGTGCTTTCATGTTTCCAATGGTGGTCTAACATTGGTCTCAACAAACTCCACAACGCTATACTGATAGATAATTTTAGTTCATGAAAAATTATTAATTTGAATAATAGATGGAATTTTTCATGCTTATTTATTGTCAGCTCATCATCTGATATGTTTTACAAATCGAATTATGAAATTTGTTTTTTTTTATCTTCTTTTATTCATGAGAGGAAATTTTAAAAACCACGTTTAAATTTGTTAGTAGTAGTTTAAGTTCATTTTAAAGAAATATGAAATAGCTTCAATCATGTTTAAAGATAAATTCATGAGCAAACAACGGTAACACATTTCCTATATCTTTCACAACAGCACGATTCGTTATAACTTGTGACTGCCGATTAGAAAGCAGTGACTTATCAATCGAACCAAGAACGCGTAAAACCCTTGCTAGCAGTCTAGAGTCTTGATTGACCCTGCTTTCCACCTAGCCCAGGCAGTTAAGTCCAGAACACAAGTCTCAGCCTCTGCGATATGAATCATTATATTTCAAACATACTGAGTTTATATACCAATCAAACAGACCACAACGTACCAATAAAATATGAAACAACATTTGTGCAAGAATTAGCCAGATGTGGCTGTAAATGAGGGAGGTAGTAATTAATATACTGGGTATAACTCAAGAATGGTAAAACGTATAATTATGGTTCATAGGTCAAAATAAAGCTTATAATGAGAGGAACATGAATATGAATAGTTTAGTTATTTAACAATTATACAATAAAAATATACGTTTAGTATTGGTCCATAAAAGGATCCCAAAGTTACCACTCATTATGTTTATCGGGACCTAACATGATCACTGTTGTCCCATTTATCTTTAAAATTTAATATCGTATGAGTCATAAAATGCAGACCACCTTGCTGACCAAATCTATTTATTCACTTAATGATAATGCTTTCATAAATTTGTTGAATTGCCTCGATGACTTGACAATGAAGTATCGAGAATTAGCTCATAGATTCCATTTAAATCACTTCTAATATGATCTGTTATGTGACTGGAATGGCAATGAGATTAGTAATATAGTAAACCATAAAAATGAATCATGTTTTAACAATGATTGTAGTGAAACTATTCCAATAAGTGAAATCTTTGATGAACAAACAAAATGAAAGAATCAGTCACGCGTCTAAACATGTTTATATGAACTTAAAAATCAGTTTGATCGTAATGCGAGGTAAGAGATCTACAAGTAAATATTTTTTCAGAATTTAACTTAAACAAATAAATAAATTGTTACATTTACTGACTCATCTGTATCGGAAAACATTAGCAAATAATTATACCTGCTCAACACTGATATGCAGTTTTATTAAACATGTTTAATATACATTGCTAATTAGTTTCTAATTGAGATGCAAGCTATTCTGCTAAGTATAAAGTAAGTGACTGATGTGAGCTATATAGGACTTAATATCATACTGTAAATATTCAAGTTCTCATTATTATTTACAGTATAATAGGAAAATCCAAGCAAAAATGAGAAAATGTCATAATAATTATACTGGGCTTCGAATGCTTTATTCATATATTTGGAGTGTGACTAGCAGTGGAATCTAGAAAACTAATTCTGTTCTTATATAAGTTTTACAGCTCATAGGAAACACATGTTTACCTCACACCTAGAACGAATCAATGATTTAACATATTGTTTCTCTCAGTTAAGCATTAATGCATCATTTATGCGTATTAGATGTGAACGAATGTATTTTGGAACATAATATTTTCTGTATATAAAATGAATACTACTACACTTCAATTTATAATTCAGAAATATTTGCTTAACTTAGTCTGTTAGTTGATCCTCGAGTGTATTAAAAACAATAGATTTTATTCATAGTAAATAAACAAAAGCCGGTAGTTGTAAGTTTTGGCAAATCTCATAGTACAATGATATTCTATTAATTTCTTGTTCACCGCTTTATCATGCCGATCTGATCAAAGTAGACATTTTCAAAAAGGTATGCTATTATTCTGTATATGATATTTTGATGATTTATTAGGTAGTATACACGATAATAGTATAAGAAAAGAATGGATATTCTACAAAGTATTAAATTTCTGCTAATAAAATATATTTACCCCATAATTTGAGGATTGAATTAACAAATTAATGTGTGTTTTTTTAATATTTCTACTACCGTACTAACTTTTACAGTATCGTCAAACTGTGGAGATAGACCTGACAACCTTATTTTGTAAATAGTTTCAATATTATTTGTATTTGTTTGTCAATTTTTCACTGTATGTACATTCATCATTAAATGACTGTACGTGTTGTTTTAGTCAAAGACCTTGAACACTCTTTCCGTTGAGCTACTACATAGCGTGACATATTCTTGCCGACTAACAAATACATTACCATTCACGCATCCCTCGTTCTATTTTCATTTGCGATTGAGCTAACTGAAGTCTAAATCAAATATTATCATTATTTATAGACTGTAATTGGAATATATCACATCCGACGTGGAATTATATCACTATAGAGTTCACCAACTTGCTCAGAATCATCAAGCATTCATAATTGTGGATTTACCTTACCGGACCTAATCAGAACACGCAACGTCGGGTCAATTTAAGTAACGTCCCTAATTTTTATTGTATTTGTAACAATTAACTGTATATATTAATATTACTATTGATCTTTAGTAACTTTGTTTATACTTTTTGCGTTCATATTTGTCTGGTCCACCACAAAACCAATTAGGTCGAAAATAGTTATCATAGCTTTAAAAGAAATAGTTTGCCAACTGTTATTGGCTTCACAGAATATTTATAGAAGCAAACACTTCATTAAAGTAATCAAGGCCTTGTAATACCGTAAATATTCAAGTTCTTATTATTATTTACAGTATAATAGGAAAATCCAAGCTAAAAGGAGAAAAAAATGGTAATAATGATACTGGGCTGCGAATGCTTTATTCATATAACTGTGAAACTCAGAACACCAGTTTTGTTCTTATATAGGTTTTTCAGCTCATAAAAAACGCATATTTACCTCACACCTAGAACGAATCACTGTAAATAATATTGTTGAGATAGGCACATCTTATTCTATTTATACTGAAAGTCCTTACCAGGTAGGATAATTTCTTCAAATATTCTGCAATGCCACGACACAAATTATACAATCTAAAGCCTAATGAACGATAAAGTTAGACTAACGATTCTTATTTGTTTGATATGAAATATTAATTGTAATTGAAAAGAGTATTTACTACAAAAACATACAAAGGTATCAATATTCAAACTATAATAGTTACTATAAGCAAAGATGGGTAGTGGCTATCAGTGAAATTCAGGACGCGCGTTTCGTCCTGTTTAGGACTCGTCAGCTGGATGTACCTGCATCTCAGAGTTAATGTTCACTCTGGGACTCGAACCCACTACCGTTCGCTTCAAACGCCATCGTGTTATCCACATAGCTACTGAGTCCTGATAGCCACTTGCTTGTGCAATGAGGTGAAGTTTAATTCACTTGATATTGTTTTACTTGAATCTTACCATTGATGTTTTAGGACTGAAATTGATCATTTTCGTATTGGCATATGTGCATACTGTGTGTATGCCTCGATATTGCCTTAATTTACAAGCATTATAAGCAAAGATGGATAGTGGCTAGCAGTGGAATCCAGGACGCGCGTTTCGTCCTGTTTGGGACGAGGCATACGCACAGTATGCACATATGCCAATAAGAGACTGATCAATTTCAGTCCTAAAACATCAATGGTAAGATTCAAGTAAAACAATATCAAGTGAATTATAATAGTTACTGTCTAATAAAATCAAATATATATCTTACAGAAGTACCCTTTTAAAATTATAAAAATAGAAATATGGACTAAAAAGGAACCAAACGATGAGTAAGCGTTTCCGACCATTTGTATATTTCATTTATTTCATCCTGTATGACATTGGAAACATGATAAGAATAGATCATGAATTGACTATGCAATTAATGAAACTATTTACTGTATTAAACTGTACAAGAACTCTATCAAACGTGATAGTGTCATATCAGTTAAATAATTTAAATTAATCAAATATCTATCAAAGAGTAAAATGTATTCAGTGTAAAGTTTATTCAGTTTAGATAAACTTGTCACAACTCATTCTTACCTATGGTTCCAAAAAAAAAATTACTCATGAAATAAATCAATATATACTACTGTTTTAAAACTTATATCAGTAATTATTGACTAACCTCTTTTATTTTATGTTGTAAATATTTTAACATATTTTGTTTCTCATCTTGTTCTGTTCTTGTTCGAGATTTAGTTAATTCTAAATCATCTTTAACTGATGAATGTTTTAATTGTATACGATTATAATCAGTATTTGAAACTTGTAATAAATCTTGTGCAGTAAGTAAACGTGATTCAAGTAATTCAATAGATTTTCTTAATTTACCTATTTCATTTTGACTGATATGTAGATTATTTATTATGTTGTAGATATGGAAGTAAAAACAAGAAAAATGATATCAAAATCAAATACAAAATAGACTGATTATACAAAGTTATTAATCAAAAAATAGCAGTAAAATATTAACAATTCGATAGGCAAATAGATGTTAAAGTAATAACTTATGAAATTTCATTTTCCAGTCAGCGGCGAGACTGTAATTTATGGACGAGCCAATCAGAGGCGTTTCAGAAATTCCAATTTCAGTGCTTGATGCTAATGTACGATCAGTTCACAGTGAATTTTGTACAAAACGTGATAATTGAGCGGCTATAACAGATAAAACGGCGGGACTATAATTTGTGGACGAATCAGTCAGATATAAGATAATAGATCTGGGATTTTAATGCGAAAGCCTTTCATCCATTTGGCTAAATAAATTTCTGGCATTATAGCTGATGTCAGTTCATGATGAAAACCCATATATAATTCCTAACTAAGGCAAATTATGACAATTATTGCGAACTGGATAATAAAAGTACCAGTAACACTGGCTGAAGCCAGGATGTATGGAGAGCGTACAGACTCCTACATATGCTTGTTTATGTGCATCGTGTCGTCATTTCTAAGTAGCATTTTGTGCACTCAACAACCGGAATGCACATAAACAATATTGAAGCTAGGTGGTCGAGGCTGAAAGAGTTTTTGAGACTTTATCATGGCACCAGAGGCCGACTATTCTGTAGCCATATGGATGACTTTTTCTACTGCATGCATTAGGATTTTAGAAACTCTGAACCTCTTTCTAGCCTTGACAAGTTTTTGAACCACGTATTGGAAGTGTATCCACTTTATTTCCTTGGTTTTGTATAACGTACTTTTACTCTACACTGACTGTTTGCTGATTGACTAATATTTCTCAACGTTACTTAAGGTTCGTTCAAAGGTCGTCCATAAATTAGTGTCTCGCCCAGTCAGCCAGTAAATGAAGAGCAATATAGGAATTTGATATGCTTATGCAACGGTAAGAGTTATCATTACCACACTAACAAATCTAGATTAAATTGTCGCTATGGATATTGCAGTCGGAGAAGTAATAGTAGTTTCAGTGATAATAGAAATGGATTAAAAAGGAAAAATAATTTGATGAGAAAGAATAAATTAGGGGAATGAAAAACACAAAATAATATTAAACCCAAATATCTAGGTGTAGATAAGGAGTACATGAGCCTTCGCAAGTGTGGTTGGTTTAAATCAATGTTATTTAATTTCCCTAACATTTAATCATGCGCTTCTATCAAGGTAGTCTTCATCTACCGATATAACTTTGATGCCTGATGACTTGATGCCAGGTTCTGGCTTTGGTAGCCCCCGGATTCCTTTCAAACTACTCCAATGTTACTCAGCATTACTTGTCAACTCAAGTGGTGTTCAGGCATACGTAATACATATCTCAGCTACCTCAGTTGATGTAACTTCAGTTTTATCAATAGGTTTACTGTCACCCTGTGTTTTACCTCAGTACTGCTCAATAGATTGTTACACCATATGTGACCAATGCTTCAACGACATCTAGAATAATTAATAATGAAAACTTGATTCAAGCATCCTTTCTTATTAAATAAAATTACCCTGTAAAAACTAAAGGTTGTCTTGAACGTGCATGAATTTGTATTAATGGGCGACAATAATGTAGAGAGCTTATTTAGAAACACAGGTTAAGCCATATTAAGGCTTTTTAACTTCGTTCACGAAGTATAAATTTCTTTTCTATAAAATCACTGGTCAAACAAATTTTGAACACGGAAATCTAAAATGTCAAACACTTTTTATTCTTATAGAAAGACATCTACCAACCAACTGAGTTAAGAAATTATCATTCGTAAAATGTTATTTGTATGACAATGATAGTATTTAAGAAGTTAACCTACGTCAATGGATAAATGTATGATAACTTATGTTACAGTTAGTTACTTTTGGAAGCTGAATAAATCCTATCAACTACCCTGAAAACTGATTATGTTTAATACAGAATTACGGTTAATTTGATGTTTGAGTGATGAAAACAAAATAAAGTCTCAGTAACATATTTAAATGTAATACAAGATCAGTTTGGGAGTGTTTATCTTCCCAAGACTTCGAGTACATCTTATTGATAAATCACAGCAAGCACAACAATAGGTTTAATGATTCATCATTACTTTGAATAACTAATCAACAAATTAACACTGACATCAAAGTAAAATGGTTACCTCTTAAAAAGTTTTAGTACACTTATGGGTTCGACCTCAGTACCATTCTTTACATCTTTTAAACTGACTAACTTTAAAATGCCCAATAATAAAAATATTAAGAATCTTATTATTTGATTAGAATGTACCTAAAATATTAGTTGAATTCATTTATTCAATCTCAAGAGATTTGTATAATTTTTTGAATATCTGTAATAAATCAAAGTAGATATACAACAACTAGAAACATGAATAAACTAATCAAACCTAATGGAATCCATGAAAAGTCAATATCATAATATAATTTTATATGACATATGGTACGGTAGAATTAATGGTCAATTAATAGAAATATTATTCTTATTATTAACTTCACTTGGTATTATCTCAAGCAATATCGAGGTAATACGCACAGTATGCACATATACCAATAAGAGATTGATCAATTTCAATCCTAAACATCAGTGGTAAGATTCAAGTAAATAATACCAAGTGAATTTAAACTTCACCTCATTACACAAGCAAGTGGCTATCAGGACTCAGTAGCTATGCGGATAACACGATGGTGTTTGAAGCGAACGGTAGTGGGTTCGAGTCCAGAAGTGAACATTAACTCTGAGATGCAGGTACATCCAGCTGACGAGCCCCAGGTGCGTCCTGGATTCCATTGCTAGCTATTATCTATCTTTGCTCATATTATTATTAGCTTGATTCAATATAGAATATAGGATACAATATAGAATTCCCAGCACAAAGTATTTCAACAAGTTTCCGTTTCTTACTTCTTGTTCGATCCTGAAGATAAATATTGAGTGATCGCAACTTAGGTATTAGCAGTCCAGTAAATCGACATCTCAATATTGTATATTCTTTTCGCTACATATTGCCAGCAACCACGATTACTCTGATTAAGCCTTTTGTAACTTTTACGACGAAAAGTTGTACACCTTTCAGAAAGATACTTGAATAGGTTATGCGATTAGTAATCATAATGATGTATTAAGATTAACGAAATTAGATAAATTGTTGAAATATCTAGACGGCAGAAACAGGTAGCCGAGATGTTCAAGAAGGCCGTCATACTTAGTGATAAAACATTTGTAATGAACTATTCACTATATTAAATTTTGATAAGTAATTGTTAATATCTTTATTGTTGATAGCTTCATTCAATATTATATTTTGGTACAATATAAAATTCTCAGCACGAAGTATTTCAACAAGTTTCTTTTACATAAACAACAAAAAGGAGAAGAAAAAGGTAATAAAAGATCCTAATCTGCACAACATTTCAAACTAGAGATATGTTTAAGAATACAGGTTATTGACTAGATTAACTCTAACTACCCGTTCGTTACAGAGCCTATTTGCTAGGTGAGGTATTGTAGAACTTTTATACTTTTTCTTGCGTGCATGAATTTTAATGTATTTACCTCTCGTTCTACCAGAAGATATACAAGGAGAAGGATATAAGTGAAGCGAATGGTTAGTATCTGATAAGATAACACCTACCAGGAGTTTGCAAAACTTTGGATGTCTATCCACAACCATATTACTTATCAAGTCTCTCATATACTGAGGAAGACAACAATCTATCAATAAAAATGAATAAACTAACAGGAATTAACAACTACTTACATTGAATTATGACTCAATAATCGAAATTTATCTTAAAACCTTTGTCATCTAAAGATTTTATGCTTCATCCAATGTGAGATAGGAATATTCTGTATTTGGGTTCAAAATTAAAATTAAACAGCTATTCATTGTTCCATGATTTTAAATAGTCGGAGACAAGAGATAAACAGGTAATGAAAATTCAATATTTTGTTTTTCAATAAAACTATAAACAACTAAATACGAAGTAAAAAATAAAAAAATTGGACATGAAACTGACTAATCTAATAAATAAAAACAACATATTTGTAATATCTCAAAAAGTAGGAAAATCAGATTGCCTGACGTTTCGTCACTGATTATAAGCCATTTCTTCAAAGATTAAATAACTGAATCAAAATTAATCCAAGTTTAAATAGTACAACGCAACAGCTAGAATATTAACTATTATTTATTTCAATAGTTGAAATCATGAGTTAATTGAAGCTAGACCATCATGGAAAACCTGGAAGCACTGGATGGCCGTTTCGTCCTAGTATGGGACTTCTCGGCAGTGTGCATCCACCGTCCCGCCCCCGCAAAATTCGAACCCAGGACCTATCAGTCTCTCGCGCGAGCTCTTAACTATTAAACCACTAACCCGGCATCTAACGATGTTAATGTCTAACTTCAACCAATCCACGAATCTCGTGGGGAGAGGGATTGTGGATGCGCACTGCTGAGGTGTCCCACAACAAGTCGAAACGGCCATCTAGTGCTTCCGGGTTTTCCATCGTGGTCTAGCATTAATTAACTCATGATTTCAACCATTGAAGTTTCTAAAAAAAATCTCCACAAAACCCCTTCTATTATTTATCTGTAATTTATTCTCTGAAGAAGTAGCTTACACTAAGTGACAAAACGTCAGAAAATTTAATTTTTCTACTTATTTAGATATTACAAATATTAAAACACGAAGTTCAGCGAAGGGATCTCTTTTCCACACATTTATCATCAAACTGTACAATCGTATATATATGAAAATATTTTGGTAAAGTACTAATTCCGTGAGGAAATGTGAACACAATTAACCATGACGTAATAAAAAGATTATAATACTAGATTACGTAATACAAACAATAACAATAGATTTAAATTTAGTGAATGTAATAAGATGATTAAAATGTTTTTATTACAATGATTAAAGGTCATAGAGGTGTAAGAAATAAATAAGGTGATATGATGAGCATTTACAAATAAAATAATGAGAATATGAGACATAAGTAAAGGGGGAGTGCAGTAATAATAATAATAATAATAATAATAATAATAATAATAATAATGGGATAATCAAAATAAATAAGGCTAAAGTAACGATAACGATAAGACGTACTTCTTTTGTGCACATAGTTCTGGTTTAACCTCCTGGATGGTAAGAGGTTCGGCTATTTTTAAGAGTTGGATACGAATAAATCTGGGTAGATTTGAACGAATCATATACACAACCTTAAAATCAAACTATGGATCCATAGAATGATTACAGTCGATTAGGTGTTCAAGTATAGAATTAGTACTTTTACAAAAAACAAAAAAAATTTTCATACATATACAATTGTACAGCTTGATAATAAATTCGTTGAAAAAGCGATTCCTTCACTGAACTTCGTGTTTTAATTTTAATGTTTAAATGTTCAAATCAAATCTTGATAATAATAATAATAATAATAATACTTACTAATCTATAATACGTTTTTCATAATGATCATTATCAACTTTTAATTGTGTTTCATTCATTTTAATTTATAAAACTGTTCTGATTTTTCATTGAATAATTGATTTAATATATTATAATCATTATTTAATTTACCATTAAATTGACTAATTAAATTTTCTTCATTATTTTTAATCCATAATAATAAATTATCTAATATATATTGTTTATTTATAGAATTTTTATCTAATTCAATTAATTGTTGTTTTAATTCATTCATAATTTGTTGATGTTGTTTTAATGTTTCAGTTAATGTTTGAATTTGTAATTTTAATGATTCAATTTTATTTTTCATATTTATTGTTTCTTGTATAAGTATTGGTTCAATATCTATAGCTTCTTTTAATTTAGTTCTATTCAATGAAGAGAGAGGGAATAAAACAATTATGATCAATAATGAAAAATAAAATCAATGAAATGGAATGATCATCTAGTGCTTTCAGGTTTTCCATGGTGATTTAGCTTCAATTGACTCATGATCTCAATTATTAAAAAAAATTACTATAATATTAATCAACATATGCTCACTAGTGAATGGCTTCATGATGGATATCCTGGAGTTCTAATGAGAAGCACTTACCGGTGGAGTTTAACCAGTTCTATTGTAAGATAGTAACTCGCTGAAGAAAACGGTGGATGTATCGCTCAATTTTGTGGATTAGTTGGAGACAGACATTAACACCATTGGATGCCAGCTAGCTCAGTGGTCTAGTGCTTAAGCGCTCGCGCTTGAGACTGATAGTTCCTGGGTTCGAATCCCTCGGGAGCGAGGTCGTGGATGTGCACTGCTTAGGAGTCCCACCAAAGGACGAGACGGCCGTGCAGTGCCTTCAGGTTTTTCATGGCGATCTAGCTTCAACTGACTCATGAACTCAACTATTAGAAAATTACTATAATATCCACAAAAACCGCTTCTGATATGAATGATATTATCAATAAAAAAAGTGAAGAAATCGAAACGCCGAAACTTTAATTATCTAAAATAATAAAAATATGTTGAAAATATACATAAATCTAATTGCGAAATTCTCTAAATATTTTAACTAAATAGATGTATATAAAGTTTGTAATTTATAGAGTAGATGGATTTGTGATTAGTAATGGAAAGTAGAGGCCATGTGTTTTTTTTTCGTTGAGTGGTGCTTTCCAACTGAAAATACTTGCATCCACGTATTGATGTTGTAACACCAATACGTATGTACGAAGTTCTACGTTGTTACTGACTGACTGATTGATTGATGTTGTAATCGATACTGAAAAACCATTGCTTTTCGCTTCAAATATACATCTGAGCTAATTAGTTTAAATAAGCATACATTTTTGTAATGGGTTTGTAATGTACATAATTAATAGATAGCTATTGTTATTTGTGAATTTGTTTTGGAATTGATGATCTGTATGAATTCACTTACCTGTACACATTTTGTTGCCAATATCTTATCATTTCATATAAATAATATTAATAATAAACTCGTACGAAGTTAAAAATATTAACTTCTATATGGAATTTTGGTTGATTATTTTTCAAATAGTCAACTGAATTCTGTGATTCATATTTCCCAGTTAAAGATTTTTCATGGTTTGTTTTATGACTTAAAATTATTTCGTTATTTCAAAGACCGATTTTTAAATATACAGAAACCTAAGCAGCTTAGCTCAAGTTAGCAGTTCTACAGATCTATAAATCAGTGAATGCTAATTCAAAGAAGTTAGAAATAGAGGAAGTTTCATCATCATATCTAAATACATCAATCAAAATCAAGACTAGGAAAATAGAATTAAGTTCAGTTCCCAGACTATAGCTAATATCTCGGTCAATCTAATAGCTATAATCGGATAATCATCCTTAAAGATTTCAAGAATTAATATGTTGTGACCTGCTACTCTCCATCGTTCTAGATTGTATTTATTTATCTTCTTAACATTAAGCTTCTAAATATTCACCACAAACAATAGGAACAAAACACAAAACGACGATCAAAACAGACATTATTTGATCTTCAGGAGATCTATCCAACAATCCAAGAAACATATGTAGGATTAATAATGCGAAAGTTAAGGACAATTCATGAAAGTAAGATTCGCTTTTTAATGACACTGTGGTGCGTGGTACTTATATTGATATAAATAGTATATGACGCAAGTCAGGAATGTAATGTCTGGCGGCAGAAGATGAGGAAGATCAAAAAAGAAAGAGCGGGAATAGAAAGCAATTAGTATGGAAATGCAAGGACAACGAAGTTCGAGACAATTATTGAACATTTTGCAAATTAAGTATTTTAGTATGGTTTTTCTATTTTATCAAGTAACTCTGTAGTCTTCTGCTGAACATAATTCGGTTGTCTTCACCTGTGTTCTCCTTCACTACAACACTACTTTCCAAAGTTATACCTTTGTGTTTATTTCGACGAATTAAACTATTATTAATAATTGGATGATTTTGAGTCATGAGAAAATGGGTTATTGAGGCATAGTAGATTATCATCTTGTAAACAGAACGAAATAGAATGACAATAGGCAGACCAATTTCGGTGACGAGGAAAGTGTACACTTTCACACGGCTCGAACTCATTAAATAGTAAATAAAGATGGAAACTTGCAATACAAAAATAGGATATTAAGACACTGTTTATGATTCTGATGAGATGATGGTCAAACTATGCTTTTCAACAGAGAATGTAATTGTTAATTATCGTCTAGATAAGTGGATATATTAATCTTTAGAAATCGGTTTGAAAAAACATAGCTTTTGGGATTTATATCAACAGTTTCACAGTAGTATCTGAACTGGTGGGCACATATAAAGGTTACCTTTCTAGTCTAGGAGGTATTATATCAATTACATTTCTTATACCAAATAGTAGGAACCTTTTGTATCAATTTAGCCTAACACCAAAAAGTATAATACATAACTTACTGAGCATCAGTTAAATTTTGTTCAGCTTTGCGAACATCGTTAGCTAAATTCCGTCGAATCTCTTCAGATTTTTGTTTCACAGCATTATAATGTATTTGTGTTTCGTTTAACTTAGCATTCGCTTTTGCAAGTGTTTCTAATGCCTTAAATTTAATAATAATTAAAGAAATAAAGTCCGGACCATTAAAATTTAAAAAATCTATGAGAAAAAATAAAAATAACTGGTTAAGGTTTTAAATTTGTTTTTTGAATGTCATGAGGTCCTATCGTTGACAAAATCCTGCACCGGTTCTATTGTAGAGTCACATACTAAGAAAAACCAGCTGTTCAGTGCTTTCTCGTTTTCAGTGGTTGTTTAACTAAAACCAATTCTTAGCGTAAGAATACAACCTGGACACAAACTCCTAAACTCTTACTACTATTAAAATAATAATAATAGTTAGATAATCTAATGGTATTACCATGGTGATTGATCTATTGTTATCCTATCCCCCTTTCCAAATATTGTTTAAGATTTATATCAACTTTTGTTAATTTAACTTATAACTTTTAAAACATAATTCATCCCTCATACCACATTTTATTTAATTGTACCAACATCTTTATCGTTCATTTTGTAATTCATTCAAAATTCCACACTATGAGATTATAGTTTGGTTTATCAGGTCGTCTCGATTTTGTGCTTGGGTCGATGTTTGTAATGTTTAATTGCTTTCATTATTAAAAGTTGATTTTACATGCTTACAGAGTTGTCGGATCATATTTTATATTGTATTTTTTTCTTCCAGACTTTCACGGACACGCCGATCTTCACACATCTCCAGTATACAACTTGCCTTCAGGTTAGATGCTACCTCTAACCTTCACAAATATAACATCATGTTAAAACGCCAAAAACGTCACAGTGACTAGACGTAAATTAGTGAAAGTTAGAAAGTTATAGTGTTAGTCAAATTTTTATTTCTAATGTATAGTTAATTTATTATCATTTGTCTAGTCATTTTTAACACTGTTCAATGAAACGCTTGAACCTGTAAATCAATTTAACTGTGAAAGTCATTGCATACGTGCCTCGACTATCATTATTAATAATATGCTAAATTAATTTACGAATCTTACAATTCACATTTGAAAAACACTTTATTCAGTATTAGAGATAAGTGTGTACGTGGGGGATTTAGAGCAAACAAGATGAAATAAAATCACTTCATCACACAATATTTTTTGTTGCTGGATAAAAAAGTTTATCGTAAAACTTGACTTATTAAATTTATGTTTATTAATATTAAGTAAGAAATAAAGTGCTTGTTAAGAACTCCACTTTTCTTATAATTTATCTCTAAGCAAGTATTCAGTGCTGTTCAAATAGTAGCATACACTGATAAACCTTAACAACAAAATAGTATATATATATATATATACATAGGCTTACGTAATTTATTGTTTAAAATTGCTTTTATTATCTTTATGAAGTAACATAAACGCAATAAATTAGAATTTGATTAACACAGGTTAACTTACTTTAGTTGTTCGATCGATAATTCCCTTAAGTTCGCCCTCTGTAATTAAAGATTTTTCATTCACCAGATTTCTAAAATGAGAATTTATATACATTTATATACCACAGTCTATATGCTATTTCTCAGGACTCTGTATTATCAACGCCGAACTAATGCAACTGTGTATCTTTGCATTTGACCCGATCACATATATATGATTGATGACCTTAAACATACAAATAATTCAGTTACAATAGGCAAAAAAGACTTGTATCCTTCACCTACTAGGTGTTCTTGCAGTGTCATGTGATTTTTCAGAGTTTGAAGCAGAATTTATTCCGTCTAGATTTACCTGGAATATCAACACCACTTGTATAATTAGTCTCTTTCTTTGGAATCAAATGTGTATCGGTCTTTGTGGGAATATATCATCCAGTTATTTCTCCATAAAACTGAACCTGAGGATTTTTATGTATTACTTTCTTAAATTGTGTTTTTTAAACATATAGCCAACTCATCAGTTATTAATCTCAAACTTGTAATTAAACATTTATGACATCTGTGTTTTAGTAAGTAGAAACTAGCTAACCAAAAAATGTAAGTAATTGTCCTTTGTCCCAATCTACTGCTATTAAACTACCAACGTTAAAAAAGAAGTTAATTTATGGTTTACACCTTCCAAAGTTGCTACTGAATTTAGAGCTCATTATCCAAATTGTAACATCATTCCATTTAAAATGTAGACTGTATTAAAATTAGATACAAGTTAAAATGTATTAGCAGTTTTAAGGTAACTTTCCAATTATACTCTTGAAAGTCACAGTATGCAAATCTTTTTGTTCATAAGGATAAAATTAAAAATGAAGCTTTGGAAATTGAGATTTTTACTTAAGAAACACAACGGCACAGTAAGTTTGCTAAGGCCTAGTAATGGTTAGTATCATCATAGGACTACAAATATAATACTTCGATCTTTTCTTAGTGAACGATATCGATTAACGTTAATTTTCAATTTCAGTGTTTAGTAATCGAGATGGTTGAAAGTAATTGGTCGGACTTTAAACTAATCACACTGGTAACAGTTGATGGTGATCGCGTAAAGTCATAGATAGGTTGATGTTATCAACTCAATATGCGGGATGCTATTTCAGTAGTTTGAAAGCAAACTGCTCAAAATGATATATTGATCCCCTGAACTCGGCCCCTGATGGATTAATGAATAAGCACTGATGAAGAGTCTCCATCAAGGATGAAAGGTATTGGAAGCTTCTAGTTATTTAGCTTAAGGTGGTTCAGGATTTCGACAACAAGATGCACGTTAGTCATATACCTTCTTATTGAATAAGATTCAAGCCTCTTTGAATGCACCAGACTTCTAAGAAAGTTTCTTAAATACATCTGTATATCTAGACATTTTGACAGTGGTGTTTGATCTGCAAGCCGTATTGAAAAATATAAAGATCATTTTGATTAAAATAGAAAGTAAGTTTTTTCGAATATGAGCTCATGTCAGAAGAAAATGTCTTTTAACATTCGAATATGGTTTCTAGCCAGCTTGTAGTTTTTCCAAGGGCTATTTTGTTAATCTTAATATGAAGCCACTTATCAATAAACCAGTTTACGTTTTGATAACTTTTCATGAAAGAGTGTGGTAAGTACTCGTGGAAACGGAATGTTTATATATATATATATATATATATATATATATATATATATATATATATATATATATATATATATATATATATATAAGTTTTTAATAATTTCTACAATAAACAGTGAGTGCTTACGTGCATCCAGTCAGTTGTGAAATCTCACCTTCAATACACTTTTTTGATGCAGCTAGCGATTTCAGTCTATTAAATACTTTATTGTATTCCTCTTGAGTTTTTTTGATATTCCATTTTAAAGCAGTTAGATTATTAGAAGCCTGGTCATGTTCTAGATTTTACAAAAATAAATCGACATTTGATTTACTTGTCAAGAATGATAAACACGCTTGAACAAAATAAGCAATCATTATTAGTAACGATCCTAAAATTAGCAGTCGGATTAATTACAGAGTAATCGATCAACAGGTTAGTTAGAGTCGTACCGTTAAACCTGTCGTCAGAAAGCATACAGACTATTATATATATGTATATATTACTTTTTATGTTAACCTAACGTTTTTAACTAAGTAGTACTTAGATGCAGTTAGTTCGCTGTTGACAATCATTTAACTGTTGTAATGAACGCTATCTAAAATCCATGGGTTGTTTTTATCTTTTTTAACAAGAACTACACTTAATTAAGGCTGCCTGATGTTGCATAGGTTACAGTAATGTTCGATTCACCCACACATGAGGATGTATGATGTGTTTTTCAACATCTAAAAACAAAACAAAAGTATGCTTATAGGTCCGAATTATAGTATGTATTACCCCACCCTCAAACCCAAAAATCCATTACGATGAATAGTTGGTTAAAAAGCTTATATGCTCTGAAACCATGGTAGTAAATAATCTCGTACTAAAGTATATGTTTTGAATCTCATTTGTAATCCTGATGAAAAATCAGTAAATTTGCATTCACTTTCACGGTTCGTAATTTAAATATTGATCAACTTAGTAGATAGCAAACAGATACTACTTCACGCATCACAAATCTAATTCAATAGGTTATGATTACTCACTGGAACGTCTTGAAGCTGGTCACTTTTGAGTACACGAATAACATTTAGTTCCTCAAAACTTGTTATTACTTGAATACAAATATATTACAACTAGAGAGAATCGGTGCTAAATTCCTTTGTTGTTTGTACTGTTGAAGGTCTATCTATATGTTCAAAATTCCAGGATATTGATATTCCTGTTTATGTTGTTTTTTAATAGTGAATAACTAATTATCTTCCATTGTCATGTCGGCTACCTCGTTTTTAATCATATTTGAGCTCAGAACAATAGATATTTTTGACACTGTTAAGATTTTTGTTTTGATATGCCCAAGGCTTGTTGACTCAGCTATAAAGTAAAGTACACAATGGTTTTCATATGAGACAATGTTGTCCGAAACGCTTATAAATGCTTGCAACTACAAAGCTGGTAACTGGTGGAAAAATTAAATATCCTCCTTTAATGTTGTCAAAAACCAAGTTTTGTGATAACAAACAACTATAAATTCAATTGATTTCCTTTCTAGAAACATAGGACAAGTTTTTTAAGTAGGATATGCCTAAGCAATCGATGAAATGCATATTATCTTAAGATTCTCAATAAATTGAAATAGAACAAAAAGTTCACTTTTGTATTGATTGACTGAATCTCCCCACTGATATTTAGGAATGAGAATTGATTAGTCTCTTATTGTCATATGTACATCCTGTACGGATCGTCTCAGTAACTCCTTCATTTACAAGCATTGCATGCAAAGATGATGGTGACTAGCAGTGAAATAAAGGACTTCAGGATCTCATTGAACAAGCTAGCGGTTACCTAGACTCAGTAACCAAGTGGAAAAATAAGATGCTTTTTTGCAAATTATAATGTAATAATTACCTTTCTGTACTACAAATGGAATTTCGTTCATGCAGAAGCGACCTATTCTGTCAAACTGGTTTCCAAGCCTATACACGGTTCCACGAGTTTCATCTATTTTATTCTCTGTATGAACCAAGTCTGATTCTACTTCTTCAAATATGTCAATCACATTTTTAAGTTTCTTTAATAAATATCAGTGTTAAACAACTTTACTTGCAAAAATGTAGTGCATATTGTGTCTGCATTTTTTATACTGCCGCTGACAGTTTTATTTTCCAGATAGTTTACAATTTTCGCAAGCGATTCCTATAAAAATAGTCACTAGCATACGCCGAACATACCTCTCCAATGACCAATTGACTTATGGGATAATTTAGTACACTAACCATCACTATTTAAATTAGTACTAAAATGCTGCTATGACACTCGAGGTTACATCTCATACGTCCAATATGAACAACTGCATTCCTGTACATGAAGATGATGATATCACACTTGTCTACACAGAATGTAGCTTAGCACCGTCTTTAGCGTTTCTTGTTGATTAGGCAATAAGAACTGTGAATTTAATATCAGTAAGCTCATTATTAGTTTATTTTCGGGTTATCGAATCGTCTCATGTATAAGGAATGTGGCATTTTGTATCTTTCTCAGGCACTGACGAGCATAAACCAACCATGTTTGTCAAAATACTTCACTAGAGCTCATTTGACTAACTTTAACTACTGAACGATTGTCATCATGTAGTTTCTGTTGACATGAAATGTAGGCAGAAATTTTTTTATGGAATAACTAGAGCTCAACCATGCTAGGTGTATGACAGTTACCGACCGATGAGGATTAAGGTAATTTAACGATATTACAAGCTTACAGAAGTCCGATGCGAAGTGGATTAGTATTTCCTTCCCAGTGTGGACAAGAAATAGGAAAGCCATGATTTTACGACTAAACTAATATTTAATCCGATTTGTCGCCTTGCACATATTCTTAAACCCGATGAATAGCCCAATACATGAACAATCTTCATTCGCATGAATTAGTGTTTTCATAATTAAGATACCACAAATATTCGGATTTTATTAACACCTTAACCAGAATCTTCTTTCTTAATCGAAACGTTCCAACCCAGTGAAATCGGGATTTAGGAGATAAGAAGCTCAAAGGTCTGTTTGATAAAATATTGATATATTGAGAAGTGACTAATCTGGCTAGCAGTTGTGGGAGAGGGGAAACACGGTGTAACCACTCGTGATCTGGTGAGGTTGCGTGACCAAGCGCCTTCAGCTGGGTGAGTCCATTAAAACTAATGCGCTCAGCATCAAATATCGAAGGCGTGCAAAGCTATTTATTTTGGGGATTTATGTACAGCTGTAGAACAACCCCCCTATTGGGGTGGTGATGTCCCTAAGACGTGGTCAGCCATAACTTTAAGCCAAACGAACTTGTCACTGTGAAGCACTCTTCTGATAGCTTCCTATGCTCAGAAGCGTCTGGTTGTCTTTCCATATTATAAGGGACTATGTGGTACAATATGGGAATGAAGAAACGGGTACAGTGAAAATTTCGATTCAACGTGAACTCCGTCGTTTTTCGTCTTTTGCAGCCGTCCTGAAAAAGAAAATGAAAGAATATGTAAGTCTATGTGGAATGACACTGATACGTGCATAATGAAATAAAACTGGCGAAAAAGAAACTAAACTCATATGCATGCGTTTCGTAAATACTCAATAGCCCAAAGACGATTTTTGTAGAATGATGTTTTTGGACATTTTTAAAGGAAAATACAAATATACACATGTGATTAAGCATATTAGCAACAAAAATATTTCTCGTATTTTTAGACACAATACTGAAACGTCGAGACGAAGCAAAATATTATGTAATGTCTTACGTGCAGTAATCACACAGATGTCCTAGAAATCTTGTCGGATTATGGTCTACTAGGATATTAGCACTGCTCTAATAATAGACCTAATCCTAAATTTGTAGATTTGTCATGATATAACTGCCTAATCTATAAGATCTTACGTGGAAGTCACACCATCGACTACACCAACTCACTGTATCGTATCAATTACCAATACATGATGTAGAACAAGGTTAGGCTAGAGAAGGAACAATATATTTAATATGAATAGAAGATATAAGGTAATATTCAGAGGGACCACGCCTGCATGGCCGAGCCATGCCATCCGATTAACTTCAATTCATTCAATTCATTCTTCGCGCCTTCTCCATTGTTAGGTATTTCTCCGTGTTGAATATTGAATATCTATTTTCTGAGTAGTCTTGTGTTCAGCTTCGAAGATTTTGTGGTTATGGTCTAATGCCACTACACTACTCTCCCACCAGAATCAACGTGATGTTGGTTCGATACCGAATTGGATGGGATCGTCGTGCGCTGAAGGTTACCAAGACTAGTAAGAATCCTCCGGGTAATGATAAGCTGAAAGATAAATCAAAAAGAAGGCGGCAGCATCTGGTCGGGAAATACATGTAATAATTTTAAAATATCTGCCTTCATGCTTAACACGCTTAAAATGAAAATTTGGGTGAAGATTATTTGAGCTATAAAAAATGGGATTACAATAATAATAATAAAACGATGCGTGTTAATAGCCGTTGGTTAATAACTTAACGTATAAGTAGTAAGTATTTTGTGTTTAGAAATATTAAAGTAATGAATATTGTAGAAATGTTAATATTGGTATTAGTTTTGGTTTAAATTATGAAATCAAATAACGATTATGCCGGTAAGTTGTCCATATGAGTTGAATTCCAATTGCATCTGTATTAGTAGGCTAACTGAAGGAACAAAAGTATTAACGTGGAGAAGAATTCCAACTAGTGTTCCAGTTAGTTTGATACGGTTTATTTAGTTACGGGGAGATTTTCTCAACCTCATTTTTACTTGACCGTGATAGAATTTAGTAATACTACTAATACACATGAATGGTTATCAAGACAAAATTTAAATACGTGAGTGATAATTATATGAATTTTGGACAGATAGCTAAGAACAAATCGTTAAACATGAGTGTATTCGTAAGAGACATACTCTAGACTCAATGTTCTGAGTTGCCATAGACTATTTATTTATATTTATACTTGCCGGCTGATTGTGCATTCAAGTTAGTTGCAAGTATGCAGTTTATCATAAGGCGGAATACGATTCAATTGAGATATAGTGATTATAAGTTATTGAAATCAGTTAAGTCTATATGTCACATTACTAGGTGATGTGCTGCAAGATGTACTTGGCTAAATAAGTTTTTACAAGATAATTAACCGTGAGTGATGCTCATGTGATTATCAGGGAGGACATAAGTTGTAACCAAGGGGAGTACACTCCCAACTCATGTCTATGATAATGGCTTGAACCTTAGTCAGTGTTGGGGTAAATTCGACATTGATGTTTTCAGTTTGCAGGAGATTTGCTCGACTGCTTATACTGATTATTTGCATGCAGGATTGTGTCGCTAAACCATCAATTAGACTGACAAGGTTTTGAGATATTTACTGAATGAACAACTTATAGAGAAACATACTGTAATCATCTGTAGTGAATGAAGATAAGAGAAAAACAACACTAGTGATAATTATAAGTCAATTTGCTGACCGATTTCATTAATTTCATCAATCATATTACGTGATTGTCAAGTCGTGACAATGCTTTATGACGAAATCCTGAAACTATTATGTTTGACTAGTTATAGTGTTGATTGAGGATTAGCCAGTGGGAAAATAGGTATTGTTGCTTTAGGTGATTCGAAATTATCAGAAATTTGTAGCGTTAAAAAATCAGAGCTACCTTACTACATTATAAATTTTAATTCGAAAGTATTCGTCAAGCGTTAATTTTAGTAGGCTACAGAGTTTTGATGTTAAACATCTATTTAGCCAAAAACTACATGAGAATTTAATTATTTGACTAGTGTAGTTGATAGTCTCTAAATTTCTAATTTTATTATCTAAACTATGTCCGCATTTTAGGCTGCTAATATGATAAACCAATCCATAAACCCAAATACGATTAGCAACAACGACTATGATGGGTTTATGGATAAATGTTAAAGGCGATTCAGATGATTTCTAAATTTAAAAGACATGAAGATATAGTGCAACGTATGTACGGGCCAGGTTAACATGCAGGTAGGTTGTTGACGTATATGACAATTTAAAAATAATGAACATCACCAGAGAAATAATTTTAAAGCTAAGACTGCTTATGAAACTTCAGGCAGGAATATGACGCGTTATAAACATTCCATAAGAAGTTACTGCATTTAGCCTAGGGACATTTACAAATATGTGTCAAAAGCAACTGGAAAATGTATACATGTTAAGTACAAAAAATCATCCAGTAAAATAGTTGAACTCGCCTGGATTATTTTTGAAAATTAGATTGTTCAGTGGACGACATATATAACGCCATTCGTGAGGAGTAGTAATGATCCAAAAGCATCCAGAATAAAACATGCAGAATGGCAATCACTCCCAGGGTGCTTGATGCTGTAGAGGTTTTTGGGACTCGCTCTGATCAGAACAACCGAGTGAATCCAGATAATTGTGTGGTTGCCATTGAATGAGCCATCTAAAATGACCTTATTATTGCAGGAAACTTAAAGCTGAAACTCACCGTATGTTTTAGGAGAAGTATCATCCATGTTGTTTGGCAATGGAACTCGAGAATATGAAATTAGGCAGGCAGTGGTCGGACGAAAAGATATTACAGGATAGTGCATAGTTTAAAACAGGATGAGGTGTTAAGTGAAGGAACACTGAGAACTAGATCGAGATAACTATTAAGTCCTTGATTGCATTGTTAGTCAATGTATATTTACACTATTTACAGGTCATATTTGCTAGAGCTTGATGTTTAAACAAGACTATGTCGCTGAAGCATGTAAATGCTATTATAGCTTGTCAACGAACCATCAAAGCTAATTACTTAATATAGGCGACCAGTTTTTATTATCGCTTGAGCTAGTATGTCATGAGAGCTAATCAATATAACCTTATGATAATGCATGTGAGCATTAATCAGAGGACCATTAGAATACTGCGTTAACATAAATATCAAATCGATCGAGAAAGTTAAAGTGGAAATAAGGATTATTTGTAATAGGTTGCGTTTCTTTAGTCGGGCTTACCAATGTCGAGTTATGGTCTACTAGGATATTAGCACTGCTCTAATAATAGACCTAATCCTAAATTTGTAGATTTGTCATGATATAACTGCCTAATCTATAAGATCTTACGTGGAAGTCACACCATCGACTACACCAACTCACTGTATCGTATCAATTACCAATACATGGTGTAGAACAAGGTTAGGCTAGAGAAGGAACAATATATTTAATATGAATAGAAGATATAAGGTAATATTCAGAGGGACCACGCCTGCATGGCCGAGCCATGCCATCCGATTAAC